GGAAATCTCCTGGCTTTGAACTTTATATTGTCGTGTTCAAATTCCCCCCTCCCACCCCTCCCAGGCTAAGATTTCGTCTAAACGCCCCACCCAATATTGAATTATTTGTACGATCAAGAAATGTTGAATAGAACGTATGTTACGTTTTTTGGTACTGCTGTAACGTTTTTATTTTATTTTAAGCAACATCCTATGGTGCGGAAGCTGTCTGATTGAGATGTGGTAAGATTTCAGTAAAGATATTCTTTTTGAAAGAAAAGTACGCTGAGTGAGGTTGATGCTGTTTATTTTTGCTCGTAGGAAACTGTTTTGCTGCTTGAGAAGGGTAATCTCTGCTTGGACTTGATTTGAAGAAAGAGTGGGCGAAGATGATTTTTCAGATATAGAGACATTGGAGTGCTTTTTTTTGTAAAATTCTGTAGTAGTGCTGCTATGAAGTTGATAAATTAGTACTGTATTGTTTTCTTGAATGGTGAAGAGAATATGGCATTTGAAAAGTAATTTTTTTGCTTCAGTCTAAGGGTTGTAGTGTTAAGTACATTTCTTTTTCACGCTAGGACGGCGCTGAAATTAAACATTTTTTCGGATGACAAAAATCAGCTCACATGTTTTGTATTGTAGTCTCAACTTCTAGAACACTTGAAATAATATATTTTTAGGACTCCTCTCTTTTATTCCAGCTCATGTGTAATCTTTTTACAGTCCCAGGAGTGATGAACATGAGATTTCTCATCGCAATATCAGTACGTACATTGTCCACTAAACAGGCGAGGCGAATAACAAAAATGACTACCTAAGGGCTACCTGTTTTATTACTGTGACACCAAATTCTTGGAATTTACACTTAAAGAAATAAGTCATTGAGGAGAATTCGCATTTACGATCATAACTAAAGTGTGAGTGAGTTAATATGATTGCAGGCAGATTGTATCGGCGTAATTGTTCTTTAATGGAAGCAATTTGGATCTCTTTCTCTTATTTTTCACCCCAAGTCCCTTAACGCCAAATAACGAATGCTACGAGACGTACCTTTAATATATTTGTTTACAACTAAAAAGTTGCCAATTTTCTTAGCGCAAACAACAAACCGGGGCTTCAATGCTTTATTGCAATCTTTGCCTATTAGGGAGTTCAACTCTCTGTTGAATATGAAAGCATAGACCCTTTTGGGACATTTCAAAACTACCCTAGCTTTTCCCCTCTGGGGCATTTCTAAACTATTGGAATTTAATGTCCTAGCAGAGCCGGCGTGGAAATTTCCGGTATTGAAATTTGCAATATGTATTGAAATTCTGAAGGTAAACGGCTGATCACTCTATTGTGACGGCGACTACTTGTTTAAGATCATAAAACCTAAATGCCGAGTAAAATAGTTATGGAGTGAAACTTCAAAGATATGTACCTTTCATTAAATGGTATCATCTCTTAATTTATGCCTTTAACTTCTATTACCAATATATGAGACAGTGACTAATATCTGATAAACTTTATTCTCATTGCACTAGAAAAGTATTCGCTTCCAGCTAAAAGTAAATCTAGCTCAGCAATACTTGAGAGGATTATTTTCCATGAAAGGCAATACAGTACCTGAACTGATAGACCGAATTTATCGAACCGACAAAAACACTAGAAATGCAATATTCGTCGCCCAGATTATTATGTTTAACTATATTCATATATCACGGAAGAAGAGGTGAATAGCTGATTGGTGAAGGACTCTATAATGCCATGCAGTGCGACCTTTACAGGAAACGACGGTTGACTAATTTGAAACGAACGTTTGTGTCTGAGGGGGGTATTTCAATATTTCAAAGCCATTTCACTAAACAATCCGAAGTTTGTGTAACATCTTACAATTGAATTGTTGTTGTGTCAGGAAGCCCTGAGGATGATTGATGAAAAATTAATCTTCAAAGGTGAGCTACAATTAAAGCAACAAAAACAAAGACTGAGACATAAAACTCATGTTCCCCCCTCTCCCTCTGCAGCCAATTAGCTTTGTTTCAGGTGATACGTTTTACCAAGTTCATCAGGAAAAAATGAATTCGGGGCTTAGTAGGACGGTCACAACATTTATCAAGCCTTTCAGGCTATTTACTGGGACAACGATTATTTTTTAAACATTTTACATCAAAATAATTATTTAGTCTGAAACATGAGAAATTTATAACGTTAATAAAGAATTATCGGTTACGACTTTAAAATATTTGTATACAAAATCGTTTGTCTTTTAAAGACTAAAAATTGAAAAAAAGGGATATAAAAGTATTTGAAAGTTATACTTTGCCTCGCTTCGCTCTTAGACATTTTTTTGTAGACTTGCTTAATTAAAACAATGAAAGGTTAACGTCAAATCCAGAATAGTATATGAGCTTATAAGGCTGCAAGATTTATCACTCCTTCCTTTGCTCCATGAGAATTCATTTACTTATACAGCAACATCGTCAACATTAACGTAGAGTCGATCATCGTAATTTTCAAAGTCTATCAACCCCTGAAATGGAGAGGGAAAAAATCAGTCATGTACATATAATATTGCATGCTCTTTAAGCTTGCAATACAGTCTCTTTGTCAAATGACTTTTCATTCCAATTTCATTCTTATTTCAATTATAATTGAAATAAGCGAAATAAGATCAGAATGAAATGCTCGAGGCCTTCATACTGACACCAATATCAAGTTCATTTTACCGTTGTATATTGATAAATTTAATTTCAACAGAGAGGTAAGCAATGTAACAGTGTGTCTGTTCACAAACGCATCCGAACGTTCAAAGCAGCTTACTACCACTATCTGAATACAATGTATTTACTTTGGGTTTTTCCCAATGAATTGAGAGAATTCCATGCCATACATGATGAATTCTCTTTCTGTGTCTGCAGAACAGGCTTTGAAACTTATGCAAACTCAGTGAGTGAAATTCTGATGGGTCATTTTATTCCTCAGAATTCAGTCAAAATAGCTTAGAGACTCCTCTAATTTGAGGTTAACATATGCATCTTTGTGTGCGCGAGATCAACCTTAGAACGATAAAAGGTTAAAAAGTCTCTTTGTAAACTCCACAATTATACCTTCTGCTGATCTTCCATTTCTTTCAGCTTGTTCTTCAAGTTCTGAAAAGATGGTCTCGAGTCAGGATCGTCTTTCCAACAGCTTGTCATTATTTCGTACCTAAAACACAAAGATGTCAAGAATATATCAGTACGTTATTAATGGCATCAGTTAAGGCCTCATTAAGCTTAAAATGTTGCGACTTCTCTAAATGTGTGTGTAGAGTTGCGAGGACGATAACATCTTAGAGCCACGGGTTAAAGCTACAAAAAACCCTTTAAATGTCCAGTTCAGGTTTGTGGTTTTTTATGACGACCCGCGTGCCATGAGGTACGACGGTTCACGTGACTTGCTGATCGCATGACTCTAGTCACGCATGTCACGCCACAGCATGGTAACAACGTTTGCTTCTTTCCTTACTAATCTCAAGAGACAAATTCATGTTTATTGACTTATTCCAATATTTTTTGCAGGTAGGCTGGCTTAACAAGTTAGACAAGTTTAATTTTGACTCCAACCAAAAAAATCTTAAAACCCCGAAAGGAATTATTGTAAGAGAAAAGATGTCGTAAGAAAATATTAAAAGAAACAACAACAACAACAACACAATTATGTCATACAATTTATCATCCACGTGTTGTGGTTTAGGTATTCTGTATCCCGCTTCTAGCAATGTTATGATCTGTCTTCCATTCATTTCTGGATATGGTGAACCACCTGAAAGAGAGTTGCTACTCATGATACAAGCTAACAACTATGTCTAACTCTATAATTTTACACTATAATTCCTGCATCATTGCTAGTTTTTTCCCAGGTGAGCCTTCCGCTTCTTGATGTGTTAACACAAGTTCTGAAGCCAAAATTAATGGCCTTTGCATCAGCTTTGAAACCTACCAATCGTGAAAATCTCATAGAGGAGAACTCCGAAGCTCCACCTGTAAATCAAACGAGATCAATTTAGGGAAAATAATCGTTCTTTTCTAAAAGAAAAAATTAATATCCCAGTAAACCCCAAAAAGAAGGTCACTATATTCACCACATAAGCTGGTCCTGGGCCAGTACCCAAAACCAGAACATGTATTGCCACCTCTATTGGAATGAGATGATGCCACAGCAATAATCTATAATGACTACAATACAGATTAAGTCCAATAGCTTTTCCCTGAAAATTTTTCATTCGAAGACACTTCCATTACACCAACAAAACTATGTTTATGTGTTCTTTGCACTCACACATCACTTTTTGTGGAATATTTTCCGTACAGTAGCGCCTCAAGAGCAGTCCATTTTACAGGGAGACGTCCCTAAATGAAAGATACATTGAGTTAATTGGCAAAAGTTAAGAAAGGGAAAGAATACAAGTCATAACTTTTCTTGTGCTAGACTGATTACGAATTTCTTCCTTAGTTAACTAACTCTGGCGGTGGTCTGACATGTTGAGGGGCAACCAACAGAGTCGATACAGATCATCAGACAACTTAGCTAATTTCCACACCAACTCTTGATACCTTTGACCTCATTTGATAAATGTTGTCCTCTTGGGCATCCCTGGCCATACCAAAGTCTGAAACTTTGCACGTTTCCTCTTCTCCAACCAACACATTACGAGCTGCAAGATCTCGATGGATAATCTACGACAAATCAGCACAAATCACTGATGTTGAAATGAATTTAGGGAGTCCAGAAGAATCGAACGGAGAGAATAACCAATGTAACAGTTCACTAACTAAATATGGCGTTCCTGCTTACTGGTATCGATGACAAATAGGACATTCCATCAGCAACTTGCCACGCAAACTTCATTAGCTGCTCTGAAGTCAGATTTGTTTGTGATTTAATATCGGAGTCTTCGAAGTAAGTATCATTTAATCCACGGCTCTTCATCAGGTGTCCCAGTAGATCTCCATAGGGAACATATTCAATTAACACCATCAATGGTTCTGTGAAGCATGGGAAGCGTGAAAATATATCTCTAATGAGCGAGAGATGTGATCGAGAATAGTTTTTTGGGCTACTAAAGTTTATTTTTCAATATTTACCTGATTTCGTGACACACCCCAGAAGTTTAATGACATGAGGATGGGCTTCTAGTTCCTTCATCAACTGAAGTTCAGACAACAAGTCCTTCCTGTCCGACTCAGAAGCGTGATCTGAAAGATGATCACCCAACCCCTGTTACCTTTCCAAGCAATAGCAGTAACTAAAACAAAATAACTGGCACAACTCCCATCTGACTCTGAGCTCTGTGTTACTCAGTGAAGGACCATCCTATTCAAAATCATGTTGTCATAAAACAATAATAAGGTTATGTAGGATGGAGGGTTTATTTTAAATATCTAAAAGGATTATTATTTTGTTATTTCGAATTTAGAAAAAGCAGTCTTTGAGGTTTGCTACTTTTAAGTAAGTGGGAGGAAAGAAAGTTAGGAAGAATTTACTTTAGATTTCTACTTATATAATTTTCTGTCAGTAAGTTGTTTTCGAAAAAAAGGTTGCTTTTCTAATTAATTCCGACAACAAAAAATTGACGGCGCTCGTTATGAAAGGGGGGGGGGGCGCACCAGTTTTATGTTGAGGCCTCTTGAGATGCTCGATTTTGAGATGCTCGGCATTTCTCGATTACGCAGGTCTGGTCAAATTATTCATGGTCTAAGTAATATCTGGTTTCAGAGGGTCTTATAATCAACTTACTGAGGTCACGTTTAGTTGACTACCGATTTAAGAATAGATATATTACTAAAAAGAACCTTACTCTTCCCATGCATTTGAGAGAAAGGGGGAGGAGCAGATAGGGTATACCTTGTTTCTTTCAGGTTTTGAAGCGACTAGCTGGAGATTACGTCTTTCCTGGGGAGTGTTAACTCCGGAATTCAACAGGGGCACATCTACTTATTTACGTATTTGATACCTTTCAACATCTTTACAGCCACAAGTGTCGTCGTAGGTCTACCTTGGAGGCCAATGACTGTTGCCTTGGCAACCTGACCAAAAGCTCCTCTACCAACGACCTTTTTTACGGTCACGTGCTCTGTAGGAATCTCCCAACACCGTGGGGATGAATATAGAGAGGTGTATTCACTGACTGGCTTGGAAGGCTGTGAACATTTTGACAGCCCTCCATTTGCCATGGAAGGTGATCGATTCAGCTCATCCAATGCCATGTACTGCTCTCTTTGAGAAGGTTCCGCCATTTCAAGCCCAGTCTATAAACAAAATCATTTACTAAGACTACAATGGAAAGTCTGTCAAATCTTCCATTTTCATCCTTCTGCGTTTCACATATAAAATTTTCATGCGAATACATCTACATAACTCATTATTATGATTATATTTTCCTCAGTGCATGTTGCGCAAATTTATAACTACTTTTACTCTTTTTGGGCGTTTAATACTGAAAAGTGAGCTGAGTTAAAAAGAAAACAAAGAAAATGTGCTACTTCATATGAAACTTTCAATTTGTTCAGCTGTATCCTAGTGCAACCTTTTCACTTTGAGGCAGTACTTGTAACGCAAATATAATAAGTCAGAGCATAAACATGTTATTCACCAGCCTGGGTCGTTCGTTTTGGGAAAAAAAACAAAAAACAAGATAGAGGGTACAGCTTTCTCCCAAGGCTGACTAATGACATTTTTGCTTTTTTTTAAACCAATAGGTACCTCAAAAAAGAACCCGAGTAATTATAGGCTACAATTATGGCAAGTTCCTCCATAAACCGAACAATTTCTTAGCGAGCAGAAAGTAGGGAAAGCTGAGGCTATTTACTTAAATTAAGAATAGAGGCTTCAACAAAACATCTCTATTCGCGTATATGATAACAGTGACTTAAGACTTTCATGGAAACTCTGAAACATTTTTATAAGCGAGTATCAAGATCTGACACCTGTCAATGAGAGACGGCTCAGCAAAAAAAGTTCATGTCAACTTCTGGAAAAAACTGATATGGTTTGGTAAACAACCTTAAGTCAAATGGCTATCTCGAAATTTCTTCAGAAACAGGCAGTGATCTTACAGAGTATTCTTCATTTCCGATCACGATTAATCTACGAAGATTTTCCTTTCCTCAATGGCAAATGGCGAGGAAACTAATCGTAAATAGATTCAATTGAATGTTCAGAGATTCTGAAAGTCTGTTCTTTTGTTCGATGCAATGGTATACATAACTCTTGTCTTTGTTCCACCGAAAAAGTAAAGTCAAACGAGACTCTTTAGAAACACTACAGGATTTCATGCGGCGTTTACGCAATGAACGCCTTCGGTTTCTGCTGCACAATTCGAGGTAAAAAAGTCCAAATTATTAGTTTTAGGCAGCGTGTCAACCAATTCAATGACACACTTGCTTTGACAAGATTCATGTTGAACCCACCTTTTGCTGGAAACGAAACAGGAGTAGAGAGTTATTACGGCTGGAGATTGTGACGAAGTTCTTTGTTTTAAAATGCTGCTTAGCCAGTAAAACAACTTATATCTATGAAAACTGGCAACGGAGCAGGGATTGTACTCTGCGAATCCCAAAAGCGTTTCTGTGCTAATGGGCAGAGATAGAAAAATCCGGAATGCACCAAGAACCAATCAGATTTCAGGATTTGTTGCCGTGTCCTCTTGGGGGAAAAAGGGGATGTACTGTACCGTACCACGAAAAGTTTAACTGTTAAAATCTCCAAGCGACTTACATCGACACTTTCTATTTCTTTATTTGTTTCGACATTTCTCCTGAAAGTAAAAAAAAAAAGGTATTACATTTCCTGTCATATTCGAATTCAGTTAGAAGCAACATGTAAACAATTTGATCAGAAGGAAAAACGCACCTCTTAGCACTCCATGAGAAAAGTCATTAAAACGATTAGTGACAGCATGCCACATTTCGGTACTGCTATATTTGCTCAGAAAAGGGCAGGTTCCATAAATATTATGGCTAAGCGCTCTGTGCCTAGCATTAAGCGCACTAGCTAGCCCTAAAAATATAAATATATCTGGTTAGCCCGCACCTTAAAAGTCTCTTGGTAATTTTTAAAAACGTTAGCAGGTTCACGATGAGGGAATTGAACATAGATGTAGCTCTTGAATAGACCGCAACCAGCATAATCCATGTTTAAAACTAACTTCTCGTTCTTATAATCTCACCTTTCTCTTGTTCCTGTTTCCAGAACATAAAGGAAAAAAAATTGGGAAAAACGTAGCATGAGAAAGCAAGAATGCAAAGGTAATGCAAAATAATGTCCTCGTATAGTTATCTCATTTTATGCATGAATTATTTAAATAGAAAGCGGAAAGCAAAAAGTCTAATGCAATTATTGAAATCATAAAATAATAGAGGAACGATTAAATGAGAGCAGACAATCACGGTTGTGAATTTTTTTCATTTGAGGGTACTTCATTAACGTAACAGATCATAGAGGACATTTGCCGTGTTCACATAGCCTCAACTAAACATCCAGAAGCTCGAAGACTCGGGTTTGCGTCCCATGTAACTGTTGTTGAAATTTCACAATATCCGCCAATTTCTTTTTTAGACTTAAACCTTGAAATTTGACTTGGACACTTTTGCGTAATCTTATTTTTGTTTTTCGAAGTTGAATTGAGTTGTTTTTCTTGAATTTTCTGCATCGCCCATTTGTCAAATAAGTTTCTGAAAATTTTCGGAGCTTTAAATTCAGTTTGAAATCGATTTAATTCAAACCTCCCTTGACTTAAAGTGAGGGGTAAAAAAAGCATTGATATTGATATATCCTTGTGCCTACATGCCACCTCAGGGACATGCATTTAGGTTGTGTTTACGTTTTGGTTTCTTCTTCCTCAAAGCGTTGGACTGTTTGTGCGTGAAAAAATGCAAGTTCCTCTTCCCCTTGGTTTACCTGAGATTGATACAAATATGGCCATAGGGAAAGTCTCTGGGAATGGTGAGGTTTCCACTTTTCACAAAATCTCTCCCCGTACAGGCTTAGATGATATTCTCTCCGAAGTTTGCTGTAGATTTTGTACAATTTTAAAGCAAAGGAACAAGATGCGATGTACGGAATTTCGATAAAGCAGACCAAAAGCGGTTGGATCGAAGTAAATTTCGCAGGAGCATGGATTCAAGTGATGGTTTTCACTGCACATGTGGGAATAATGATCAGAAGTTATTGGTCATTGGAGATATTGGGCCCTAAAATATCCTAGTTTTTGGACTTTGTCAAAACCAGAAATCGTTTGTCTTTACTAAAGGGAGAGAGCACTTCAGTTTTCTTGAAGTCTGAATACAGAACATAACACATGTTGTTTGACTTTGCTGATGGCTTCACTGTTTTTCACGGCAGCAATGCGAAGTTAGCTAATCAATTATGCAAAAGAAAAGCAGAAAAAGCGGGAGCGGGGGGGGGGGGAAGAGGTTACCAGAAGGACTCCTCTTCTCTCAGGGAACCAAATATTTTGGCATATCATTTTAACACATTTGTTACCTCAAGTTACTTAGTATTCATGCCAAGTTTGAGCCAAATAGGTCATTTGAGCATTATCACCGCCTACCCGGTTTTCTCCTGGACACGCTCTGAGTACTACGCAACATTTTTTCGGGGCCAAAGTTGGCTTCTATGCAACTCTTAGCATTTGAGTTCTTGATGTTACGCTTTCTCAACCTCCATACGAATAAGACAAATATTCCAACAGCAGCAACCAGTATGGCAGTTGATCCAATCACTGCACCAGTAAAAATCCCTGTGGTACCTTGAAAATGAGAGAAAAAACATCACATGAAATACATGCCTCCAGATACTCTGTTGGCAATCCTCCGCTCAGTCATAATGTCTTTTCTACTCATACAACTCTCATTTAAATTCCCGACATATTGCTTGATTAAAGGCACAATAAAATGCAATGTTGATACCTACAGGAAGAAACCCACTAGGAAGGAGAAATGAATTACAGGTATTCCACCAGTACCCTATCCTTACCTACTCTTTAAAATGTTTTACACAATGTAAGGATTACTGAAGCCTTGTCGTATTGACCAGGCGATAGCGAGGTCAATGCGGCTAGGCAATGGCTTGACATTTCCCCTAAATGACCGAACAGTAAAGATTACTATTTAGTTGTTTATTATATGGCTTACAAACTGAAAAAACAAAAATTGAACTATTCCAGCGGAAGACATCAATTTACTTCCGGCGATGGGTGCTTTTACTTGTCCATTCATCCACAGTAAAACTACGCAATCAGTGAACTACACCACTTTACCTCATATTCCGTCAATAAATATATGCTGTTCACCAGACGGGACGTCTGTATTGGGAAAAACTGTGCCCAAGGTCTTGGATGCCGCCCGAGGCCGTAGGCCGATGGCGGTACTCAAGACAAAGGGCGTAGTTTTTCCTAGTACGGACCGACCTAGGATGGTGAATAACATTTTAATTTTTTTTTTCTTCAACTTAAAAAAATTCTTTTAAAAAGATATCGAATAACTTCGGGCTGTAGCCCACTTAGGGCTGTAACTCACATCCTCCATAAACGGAAAAAAATTTGAGTAAATGATAGAGTAAACAGAGGTAACGCAAATTAAAAAGAGAGACTTCAATGGAACACTTTTATCTGCGTACTGATATCGGTGAATCGAAGAGTTGAAAGAAAACATTGAAACACTTTCTATCATGATCTGACACCTATCAATTGGAAAGCGCGTAAGGAAAAAAGTAACAACCACAGCGCTAGTTTGGGCAAATAACCTCGAGGTCAATGACTTTCACCTTGACTTTTTCATCGTCACTCATCTTACGGAATAAATTGTTATATTCCAACGACGATTAGTCTACGAAGAATTTCCTCTGCTAAGTTTCACATGTCAAGGAAAGTTAAATTGTGAAAGTGTAGTGAGATCGTCCCGGTGAGTGTAGTCAAATTGAATTCAAATGACATACTCTTTCTAGCTAGACACAAGGGGATGAAGTACGACTTGAGGTCATCGAATTTCCTCCGTTTCTGTTGTGAAATATGCGGTAGAAATATCCAAATTGCTGGAACTTGCAAAGGACTAACGAAAGTTTATCTATAGTAGAACTAAAAACTTTCCTTAACGTCTTACAAAGAACAAGTTTTGGAGAATTCAGTCTGATATTGAATGAAAGAAAGTTGCATCGATAAATGTAATGGTTAACCGCAAATACCTTTCTTTTTAACTTTCTTAGTTACTTTTTGAAAAGGATTATTGAATTTCAAACGGTTGTGTAGGTCGTATGTCAAGCTATTTAAAAAAACAGATTTGGTCCCAAGTAAACTCTTTTGTGTGTGTGTGTGTGTGTGTTTAAGAGAGAGAAAGAGGAGACAATAAGTTATATGTCGGCTAAAGTTCGTGACTGAAATCTCTGCTTACAAATGCTGACCAGCTGGTAAAACAAAATATATTTATGAAACTTTGCAATGAAGCTAAGGATGTACTAGGCGACTCAACACGCAAAAGATAGGGATACCGCCTACTGTGAGTGGGCCGGATGGGAGAATACTGCTTGCTCTCGCCGGGAACCAATCAATTCGCAGGATTTGTAAAACACTGCCCACTCACGAGCTGAGAAATAATAAACATATATCATTCACCAGTTGGGTGATCTGTATGGGGAAAAACTGAGCCTGAAGTCTTGGATATCACTTGAGGCTGTAGACCAAGGGCGGTACTCAAGGGAGAGGGCATAGTTTTCCCAACACGGACCGACCAAGGCTGATGAGTTACATTTTGTTTTATTTTTCCTCAAACTTTACGAACTTCTCTTAAAAAAAAATCCGTGTGATTTAGGACTTTGGTAACCACAAGAATCGCCATAAATTGAGAAAATATTTTTTAGCGACCTGATATTGCAGAAAAGAGAGGTAATACAAATTAAACAGGGAGACCTCACCGAAACATTTCTATTAGCGTTTCAAAAGGCTTCCAAACAAATTTGTAACAGGGAGAGTTCAGAAAAGAATTTTGACAGAATTTTGTAACAGAAAGAGTTCTCTCTGGCTGTTAATTAACCTTCGTCGTTTTCGTGCGCTCGAATTTTCAAAGGCGAAAAGAACCACCGGGGTGCATTTTGTGCTCTTTCTAACTTGCATAATCCATAAACGGCCCATGATTACTACCGCTGTATAATGCCCTGCTCTGATCTTTCCCTTTGCCACTCAGAGCGCAGGTTTCATGGGCACCAAGCCCAAGCTATCTAACAAGGACTGAAGAGCATATAATAAACTAAGATTTCTGTAAAATCTTGCCATCAGTCAACTACTATGTACCTATCAAAAGACTTCAAACTTACTGCCGGGGGGCGTTGCTGTTTCTGCTTCAGTAGTTCTAGTTTCAAAATTAACTCGCATTCTTGTTCTGTTTATTGCACTCACAGTGAAGTTTCCAAGCTTTCCATCGTTGGAAGCGTTACGAAGCACTGTAATAACATCTTGCTCTTTTGTTTTGGAATGGAATATAAGTGCTAGGTCAGCAATTATACTTCCACATCTTGATCAAAACAAAATATTAGGGTCAGAATAAAAAGGAGTGTATTAGAAACCAGAAAATTATAATTCATTTGCTGATTCAGGCAGTTTACAAACCTAATGCTATTTTTCAACAGCGCACCTCTTAAACCTGCAAATCTCTCAGCAAAAGCCTCCTCCAACTGTAGAAGGAACAAAAAAGTGAGAATGAAGAGTTCATCAAGCATCTTTTAAGACCAACAAACGATCAGATAAACATATGACCAGTGTTTTGATAATTTGTCATGAATAACTTCTTTTGAAAACCACTTCATAGCATGCGCTGCACAAGCTCACTCGAGATGTTGGAGTTCATACAAATTATTTTCTACATATACTTTCTTTAGAAGTCAAAAATCATTCATTGAAAAATAACCAAAAAAATGCATGAAACATGCTGCAACAGCAGAAACAGAATTAACTAGTACATGCACAAGTGATTATAATTTCTTGATGTGAATATATAGATAATAAAATTATCTACTCTGATTGAAATGGTTACCACTTTTTGGAGTCTCGTCAATAACGAGGATTGATCGTAGTTTCCATAGGTACAGCGTTCATTGGCGATAACCATGGTTATGTTGATTGCATTTCTTGTAAAGGCTGTGCATGTAAAGTAAAAGACATTAAAATAAGAGATGAATAAACGTAGATTTGTTTATTTTTTGACAAGTTCTTCGCATATCATGTTTACTTTTCATTTCCCGTGTGAAAGCAGAAACCATTAAAAAAATGTAAATGAGGAACGAGGGGCCACCACTTTCACTGAGTGGTTCTAACTTCTTACTGGTTATCTAAGACAAAAATTTTAATGAAAAATAATCTCTATTTGTTGGAAATAGCAGCAAAGAGACCTAGATTTTTACAAGCCTTAAGGGGGAGCATGCCCTTTCAGCTCTTAATTAGCCTCTACAATATTTATTTAGGAATAATATTCTAACAAGATGGGTACTCGATTTTCTCGCATAGTAAGTTATAAAGCTGGTGGAATTTAACTTATCTACACTAGTCTAGTTTCTTTCTGCTACTTGCATGCATGATGCATTTGGGTTGCTTTATCATGATGACATATCGTGATCGATATTCTAAGCATAAATGAGTTAGTTTTTTTAGAGAAACTTGAAATTCTATAGGAAAACCTCGAAATGATCCTCTTCAGGCATTAGATCTTTTATCTCTCGGTAATGATTGAGAGGAGACCATTGTGAATAATTAACATACCTTCACAATCTACCACATTAGACGGTTGGTAGTAACCTTCATTACACATGCAACCAGTCCTGTCAGTATTAGATACTGAGTTTGCAGGACAAGGTCTACATTTTTCATTACCAACAGAATCCTTGTAGAAGCCTTTCTGACACTCTAAAGTGAAACAATTTCATTGGTACGCCTTTTCTTCGAAGACATCAATGCAATGACCTTGTAACGTGCTTTTAAAGACAAAAAAAGTTCCTGCCATGCAAATGATTAGTGTCTGTGAAATAAAATGCTAGACATATTTTGATAACCCTGGCACTAGTCGTTACCATAGGCTTGGTTACCGAGACAACTATTTTTTTTTTACTCCTAATGGCTCTCATAATGACTCTCATTCAGGTTTTTTGAGTAACATGTATACATAAATTTGACAAAACACCCAAACTGAGATTTTAACACCTAAGACCCGAAAACGAAGACTCTAAATAGCTAAAGATAAATTCATCTGTCTGCGAAAAAAAACTAATACGAAGCGAAACGAAACGAAACGATACTTTCAAAACTGGTACTTTGTAAAAAGAGGGTTCTTTCCTCTCAGGTCTTCGTTTTAGGTCCTAGACCATTTACCTACGCCCACCAGTGGAATTCTCGTGAACATGTGAAATACGGCCGAGCATTACTTGTTTGTTTCAATTATACATTGAACCTTTCATAAGCTTTCTATCTATGTTTTAAACGATTAAATATCTATTTTGGCTCCTACAATTCAGAGGTTAATCCAAGTTTTAAGTGCAGCACTAACCTCTGCATACAAAAGAGTCTGAAGATCCATTGGTAAGTTCATAAGCATAATCACAAAGGCAGAGTGAGTTAACAGTGATGTTCCATTCCTCAGCACCAAAGCAGATTGAGTTAGCTGTGATGTTCCATTCCCCATTACTAAAGCACACGCCAAATAACTTTGTGTTGTATATATTATGCGAGTTAGGATCTGCACATTCTCCTTCTTGTTTGGTTAAATTGATATCATTTACTGGGGCAATTGTTCTTGGAAATCTAACGAAGGAAGCGACGACCGTCTCAGAGCAAAAATTATATCTTACAACAAACTTGCTTATTGTCAAGCAAGCTCCTTGGTCTAATAATGCCAAATAAATTCCCTTTGCTTTTGTTACTATTGACCCATAAAATGTGTCTGTTGTACTTTCAAGAGGTGCAGGAAGAGTTTTTGGAGTAATAACAGTTTCTTTGTGGAAGTTTAGTCGTGTTGGGTCTGGACTAGAATCTAATATGTGATCCGTATGATAAGAATAAAGGGTAAAGTCTTTTCTGCAGAATGGCCACACGTTAGCTGAGGGGCAGTTACGAAGGGTGTAGGTCACAACAATATCGAGTCGTGTAGCATCCTTGGTATTGAGAAAGTCCGTTAGTAACCAGTTCTTTGGTTTCTGTTTTCTGTTAGTAGTATCACAGATTCTGTAAGTTGGTGATTGAGTCCAATGATCCCAAAGACGAATCCACTGCAAGAGAAGAAAGAATCAAATCATTGAGTTAATTAGTAAAAATTCACTTCAAGAGCGATGGGTCTGTGCACAATGCATTGTATACATGCAGATACACTCAACCGAAACTTTCTGCGCATATATTAGACGAGTATTGAGCATTATCAGAGGGGCCAAAAGTTTCAGTGGGTGTTCAACGTGAATAAAGATTTCTAAAAATAAAAGGAAATCTAACTATTACTTCGCTGGAACCAAACTTCAAATGGCACAGTTTTACAGCATGTGTGCTTGTTCATGCAATATTTGCCAAATACCTAAGTGTTTTATACATTCAAGCTTTGATCTCTTTAGAATAATGAATACGTCTGATCCGTTTCTCGAACTTCCTGTTAAAATCATCGGAAATTCCAGTTTATTGGAGGATGGGAAAAAGAATACTAAGATTATTAAAGATGTTCAGGGAAAAACATTACTAATACCTAATTTATGTAGTTACTGATTGAAAAATAAGTTTTATCAGGTTCGTGAGAAAGAGTTAGTTAGAACGGTCTAAGTGATAGTTGGCTGAAGGAATTGGCAGAACTGATCAGAATAGGAAATCGAGTGTCTACCCTACTCTTATTGAGTCAATGAGGGTATGTAAACACGGTTAAAGTTCTCTAATGCTCTTGTAAAATATTTCTCCCCAATAGTATGACAAATTAAGGTTGTTTATTTGCGTCTTGAATGGTATGATTAAAGTCTCAAGATAAGTAAAATCTCTCTTATTCTAGGTGACCTTTTCTTTTCAGTTTAATTTCCTTGTATCTAAGATGTGCCGTTTACATGGAAAATTATCCTTGGTTAGAGTTTCGCCGATACTTGATGTAGTTTCAACTGTTCAAAAGGCTTGTAAAGCTCAGTTCATTCATGAATCTCGAGCTCCCAGAAGGTAAAGGTATTTTCCCAAGATTGACGGCCAAGAATTAAACATTCTGCGCAGTGCAATTTCATTTACATTTTTATTCACTGAAGGACGGACGTGTTTGAAGTATTTTGAAAAGCTTTTCTGTTTTTTTTTTTCTTTTTCACTCCAGTTTCCTCGAATATCTGACAAAATTTCATTCTTTAAGGTGTGTGACTGCACAACAGTAAAGTACTTAAAGGCTCTGAGAATCATTTTTTCCCATAATTAAATGTGTTTGTTGATGCATACGGAATACGTGATACAGTGCTAATTCACTGACTGCTTGGTTTTAGCGTGGGTTTGAGTCGATGAATGAAAAGGAAAACGCGTGCATTGCCCCATGCAAATTGATGACTTCCGCCCTAATAAATTTTTCGTTTCTTCATTTCGTAGGCCATATGATAAACAGCTTAATAACCTCGACCATTCGGCTCTTATGAGAAAATGTGAAACCTTAGCCTTTGCCTCACTATCGTTCGGTAAATACAGTAATGCCTCAGTCTGAGGTTTTCCCGTAACGACTTCACTTGAGGTTATTTATTACTTAAAACTATTGCTGGCGAGCCCTAGCGAGGCAGCAGTCTATTCTTTAAAATAGCGAGAAAAAGCCAAAATGTGTCGGATGTAAGATCGGAGTCATGCGCAGTCGATTGCGTTTTTTATTTCCGGAAGGTTTGTGATGACATCACGTAAAATGCAAATAGAAATATTGATAGATTTCGAGCAATAGCTGTGTACAGCCGTCCTGCTCTGCTAGAAACCAAGAACACGATAAACGAGGTGAGTTTTTAATAAAGATGTCTAATTGCTTGTGGAAGTATTTATCAAGTTCATGAACGGTTTAGTGATCACTCTCGAGGAAGACAAGATAATTCATGTGTTTGGCTGCTTATTATGTGAGAAACTTTTGCCCATTCGAGTAAGGAAGCGCCAAGATGTCGATCAAGTTCTACTTCATGGAGATAGTTTTTTTCTCAGTGCATTCAGCAGCAGTAAAGTGTTTGGCAAAAATGCTTCCATTCCGAGTAAACTGCCGAATGCAGCTTGCTGGTGTCGGGAGAAAAGAGAGGAAGGGGTAAAGCCAGCCTGCTTTATATCGAAAGCGACTTCAGTACCACAGGGAAATCATTCACAGGAATTACGGTCTTTTCGTTCAAAAGTCTTTTCGTCCAACAGTCTTTTAGTCAAACAGTCTTTTCGTCCAAGTCTTTTCATCGAAAAGTTTTTTCATCTAAATCTGTTGGACTAAGTCTTTTCTCGAAGCGAATATATAACTTTTAGAAGGCTCGATAAGGCTATATAAAGAGCTTACTTGTGCGAGCTGTCGCCATTTTGGTTCCCATGTTCTTGATTATGTTGGACAGTTAGTTGTCCATTTACGCCTAATAGACGCTAAACAGGAAGCCTATTATTCCCATTTCTCTCGCGCGAAATAATTAAACAGCGAGTCTTTGTTTTTGTCACTATTTGATAAAATATATCACGTACGACTTCATTTAAAACAATGTTATAACTTTGACGAAAAGACTTGATATTGGACGAATGGACCAAAGACTTTATACGAAAAGACCTGGACGAAAAGACTCTTGGACGAAAAGACCACAACATTAAGTTGTCGTTTGCTCAATGACGTTAAACATTCCTCAAAATGTGTTGGTCTTGCCGAAGGGCGGTTCGTGAGTTTTGACGGACAAGAGGTTGATTGCGATATTTAGAGTATAAAATATGGAGAGCGCCGACAAAGGTTGATCAATGCAAAGAACTCCCTTTATCCTTGCCTTCCTTTTGTTTAGAACTGATGAATACTTTCATAACTTACAAGCAGGCAATTGTCAGTTTGAGAAATGTCACTGACTATTCAGTTAAGAAAATCAAATACTTTTGACCCTCATGCTAGAAACGGTGATGGTTTGCCAAATTCTAATGGTGCAACAACTGTATTAAAATTTGGAGATTTGGGTGAAATTGGAATATTCTTTTGTTCTTTAACAAATGAACTGACATGTGAGTGTTTTGAAATTATCCCTTGACGCAAGCACCCACTTTCACCTTGAAAGTACTAGTTTATACATGTACCTAATATACTAATAAAGTTAATGTTTAATACATTTAAGAATGGTTTTTACAACATACTCACTCCTGCTCCTTCCCAACTGTCTTTAAAGATAGCCCAGTGCCAATCTGATCCAGGTTCCTCAAGAAGAGTTTCTGCAGAGGAATGTTACTCTTACAAGAGACTCTTACAAAATGAATTACTGAAACAGGTCAATGTTAAGTCTGCTTATGGATTTTGGTCATGATTGCTTCTCTTTTGAGGAACCAAAGACAAGTCTTTGTACTTCTTCCGAAAGGAAGCTTGGACCCCCTTACCTCCTCCCTCCCCTCCCTCCCCCCACATTTCCTACTTCCTCCTCCTCCAACACCTCCAAATATTAATTTATAGCAGGCGAAAAGAAGAAGAAATAAAGTAATGTGATAGGAAGATATTATTGGTCTTGTCTCAAACGTAATACTAACAAAAATGTTATCTTATTTATGAGAAGGGTTCTGCTTACAGATTTTGGAATAGTTTTTCCCTCGAAAACCATTGGAGACATTTAAAAACCGGTTTTTTTTTTTTAAGCTGTTACCGCCTCCGAAAAAAAAGCTGCGAAATATCTTTCTAATTATGTGACACAGTTTTTATTTAAACCGAAACTTGTTGACGCAAATAACAGTGAAGGGAAGGCGCCATTATTCAATCTCTTAGATCGGCTGTCTACAGAGTAAGCTCAGCATCCTCGTCCTTGAGATGTTCATGGCACACTTTACTAAATGTTATTCAGCTCTAAGTCATTATTCAAATCTTCTATGTGCTACATAAACATATCTTATATGAGAACGATCCTTCGCAGTAAAGCACTATTTGAGCAATAGTGAAAATCAGACCTGAAAAAAATTTCAGGCCTGTACGGGATTCGAACCGTACAGGCCTGAAATTTTTTCAGGTCTGATTTTCACTATTGCTCAAATAGTGCTTTACTGCGAAGGATCGTTCTCATATAAGATATGTTTATGTAGCACATAGAAGATTTGAATAATGACTTAGAGCTGAATAACATTTAGTAAAGTGTGCCATGAACATCTCAAGGACGAGGATGCTGAGCTTACTCTGTAGACAGCCGATCTAAGAGATTGAATAATGGCGCCTTCCCTTCACTGTTATTTGCGTCAACAAGTTTCGGTTTAAATAAAAACTGTGTCACATAATTAGAAAGATATTTCGCAGCTTTTTTTTCGGAGGCGGTAACAGCTTAAAAAAAAA